CTACTCTCAATTTACTTTGATTGTTCTACAATCAAAGTAGATATGCTTGAGGTTTTTTGTTTGCATATTCAAAGTGAACTACTTCAGTGTACCATTCTCTCATCTTAGCTGAGAATTTCAGTGAGCAAGAGTAGCCCTGGTAAAGGGCAAATATGTGGGAGAGTGGAGAACTCCAGGAGACAGAAAGGTGAACTGGAAGCACTATGTCTTTAATAATACCCATACCAATATGGCATCCTTTAGGAGGTACAAGGAGCACAGAAAAGGTCTTCTCCTCAAGTATTGTGTCAACAAAGTATCACTGATAGATCATAAAGTCACACATCTTGTCCTGTAAACTTCCCCTTCCCTCCTCCAAATTCTAGCCTTTGGGAAGAAAATTCACATCTTGCATTTTTCTTCTGGTGGCTGCATGGTAGGAGAATGATGCAAATGTCCAGGCGCGCGTGGCCTTTGGGGTTAAGCAGAAGTTATTATCCTCCAGAGTAACTGATTTAACGTGTTTCATTTGTTCCAGGAGCTTTAGACAAGTGCAGAACATGGCGTATGAAGCCAGTAAAGAAGTTTCTCTGCATAATCAAAGAATATGCGAAGAGAGTCACGGACTAGATGTTGTGAAACACTGGTACTTCGACTAATTCAACTAAGTTTCTGCATTGTTTTACTGACGGGTGGGTACTAAATCACTGCCAGCAGACTTGTTACCTTTTTACTTCTTGTAGGAACACATATGTTGTCCAAATTTTTAATTATACCAGAACATGAAACCAGCAGCATGTAGCCTTACAAATATAGAAGTAGAGTTTGCTTCTACATGCTGTCTTACAGGAGACATCTTTTTGGTTTTTTAACATGAATTTCTGTGATGCCTTTCTCATCACTTTCTGCCTTGACAGTGCTGAAAGGTGAATGAGAAGAAATTATATTCTTAGCAAATGTGACGTATGTGTTCTTAAACTTCTCTTGGGTTACTTTTGTGGAACTGGCTTCAAGTGCAGTGATTTGCATCGCTTCCCGAAGCGGTGTTCCTTAGAGGGCAACATACAGAATATAGATGGGAACTGTGGATGTCGTGCGGTCTGTTTGCTGATCTCATCAGGAGGATCTGTAGGATCCTGTACAGCATACAGATCCTGTAGGATCATGTACAGCATGATTATTGGTCACTCGGTGAACAGCTTCTAGAGGAGAAGAGCTCTTAGTTGTCCCTTACTTCTGGATTTGCTGAGAGGAAAAGCTACGTGGGTAGCAAGTAATGAGGCTGATGACTGGAAAGGCCCTGGTCACTTGTAACAAGTGAAAAGTTTTGGTAACTTTTTGCCTTGGAAACAAATTAGTAAAATCATAAATGCTTTTGTATTAACCTGACACCTTCTTCTTAAGGACTTTATTATTTAAAAAAAAAAAAAATAAAGACTGCTGCAATAACAATAGTCTTCATGTTTGAATGTCTTTACTGATCTGTTACAGCAGCTTTTGTTTCCATCTGGGTTTACACACAGCGGATGCGGTGACAGACTTGTAGGCGCACTCCAGTCCCAATGGCAAGCCATGACCTACTGGCACCCAAAGGGCTGAGGAAGACTCTGAATGTGGAGAGAAACCTCAGACCTAACTACTAAGTGCCTGAAAGCCTGGTCTTGTCATGAACACACTTGCCAGATATGGCAGGTTTTTTCACCGTTTTTATACATGGAATTCATTTAGCTCTGAAAGACCTGCTGTATGTTGTATTTACTTTTTTTTTCATCTGTGGAACCTCTTTCTGTGATGGTTTTTCAAAATTTTTGCTTTGTGTTGTCTGCAGAGTGGTTTCTGGCTTAAGCTGTCTGTGAAGCTTCTTGGAGTGTTCTCCTTGCACTCCTTCAAGTGCTATTCAGGCTTTCTTCCTGGTGTTAACTAAGGGTCTAACTAGATTCTTATTTCCTTCTATTAAAAATTGGGAGCAAATTAAGCTACAGTAACTATCAGTAAGATGTACAGTGCGCTGGATGAGAAGTCAATATAGAACAAACTATTAACACTCTCCTTGTAAATAATATCACTGTCATATTTTTCACAGCAACTTACCCATGAGCTGGTAGGAGAGCAATAAATAGTTTTTAACATACTCACCTGTTATTTCTTCTTCCTCAAACATGTTAGATGGACTGCACCTGTAGTCTGCCTGCGTGTGCTGCCCTTCAGCCCATGAGCTGTAGGTGCCGCGCAGGATGGTGCCAGAAAACATGAGCTGCACATATGGAGTTGGCCACTGGATGGGGAACTTTGCTAAGCAGTCATGGGTTAGCTGCTAATTAGT